AACAGGAGGTGCAACAGTTCTTCGTAGTTTTTCGAATCTTGAGTACAAACAAACAAGCTCTAATAATTCTTGCAAATACTATAAATTCTCCCATCTCTTTCAACCTTGTCAATTAAATCATGACTGTTGTGACTTTAAAAAAGAGATTATGTTAAGCTAGAGCAGTAATTCAATAAGCACAGAAATCGCTATAAAGTAGCAGAGGAGCTTGTAAAAATTCCTTTTCATCGTTCTTATCCAATAATATGTGGTTGCCTACTTGATGCCTGTACTTTTGACTTTACAGATTCTGCAACAGCTGCAGATCGCTCACGAGGACACCCCTGAGTCCCGCGAATTATTGTCGCTCCTTATGGAAGTTGTTCGATGCATTCGAACAATTATTAACACTTATGTAAGGTTTAGTCATTCTATTTTATAAGCAATCTTCATTTTGTTTGTTCAGCCTGGGTTAGAACTTGTGCTGCAACGAGATTCACGCGTGATCGGCCGTCTCATCGAAGGTCTCTGCGCCGTGAACAGGAGGAAAGCAAAAGAGGGAGAAGAGACAGAAGCTATTCGTGCTTTGAGAGCCGAAATTGTGAAGATTCTCGCATCTTTGGGTATGGTGAACCAGGAGTCGACAAAGAATATCAAAATGGAAATGACTGGGTGAGGAGGCTTGCCCATTTATAGGATGCTGGAGTATGTAGCACATCTATTGCAGAGCTCAGAAGATGATGAAGGAGCTTACGCTCTTGGCTGCAAAGTATAAACAGCCAAGGTTTAAGCCGATATTGGACTGTCTTCGATTCTGCAAGGAATCTGATGTGGACCACGTTGTTTGTTTTGTCCACCCATAATCAATACTGCTATAAATTGTCTCTAACAAAAATCTTTTTTTAGTATCGTATCCTTATCACGATCAACCTACTCATTCACAGTAATGACCGGGAACTGAGCGAAGATCAGTCATGGCAGGTCCGAATGGCTTTGCGATCTGAGCTGATGAGAGATGGTTTTGGAAAGTA